CCCCCCCCAACCTGACCACTGAAGTAAAGTCTGTGGAGATGCACCACGAGTCTCTGCCTGAGGCTGTGCCTGGTGACAACGTGGGCTTCAATGTCAAGAACGTCTCCGTGAAGGAAATCCGTCGTGGATACGTCGCCGGTGACAGCAAGAACGACCCACCCAAGGCTGCCGACAGCTTCAACGCTCAGGTTGGTGTGCACTTCCTGACAAACGTCCGTTTGGAGATGCAGACTTCAGGGTAGACGTCTTAACTTCTCGTCTTCGTAGGTCATCATCCTGAACCACCCAGGCCAGATCAACGAGGGTTACGCCCCCGTCCTGGACTGCCACACCGCTCACATCGCTTGCAAGTTCAAGGAGCTGATTGAGAAGATCGACCGTCGTTCTGGCAAGAAGCTTGAGGACAACCCCAAGTTTGTCAAGTCTGGAGACGCTGCCATCGTCAAACTGATCCCACAGAAGCCCATGGTTGTGGAGCCCTTCTCAAACTACCCTCCCCTCGGTAGGTTTCTGCTCAGAAGTCCATTTTCAGTGTAGAAGGTCAGTTCTCTGACTCGAGCTCACCTGTCCTCTCAGGTCGTTTTGCCGTGCGTGACATGAGGCAGACCGTGGCCGTCGGCGTCATCAAAGCTGTGGACACCAAGGACGTCGCCGGAAAGACAACCAAGGCTGCAGAGAAGGCCCAGAAGAAGAAATGAATGGTCGTGCAGGACGTCCAGCGAGGTGTCGTGTGCCGGCAGCTGCGGGCCGCGTCCTCCCCCATCTCTCACCATCATGGGTCATCTTCTCTGAGGCACAGCTCTCTACTCAAGGACTGGCTTATGCTGATTAAAACCCATCGAAAGAGTTTTCGCAGGAAAAAACTTTGTGGCATTGTCGCCTAATTTCACAGGATGGTGCCTCAGTTTAAGTTGGAAATGGTTTAGAACTGTATCTCTTCTCTTTAAACGCCACAAATTAATTGGAAAAGAAGCAGCTGGTAACTAATGAAAAATAAATCTCTGAAAAAATTGCAATTGGCTTGTCTGTATCCTTCAGTGTGTGTCAGACCAGCTGTTCTGACCCGTGACGCGCTCGTCCTCCAATCGTCTCCCCAGGAGACGCGAGCCGCAGCCAATGGCCCCCCGACTTCACTTTGAGACGAAGCGAGTCTGCGCAGCCCTCCCCCTCTGCTGCCGTATAAAAGCTCTGTGCGCACCACATTCTGTCCTTTTGCCTCTTTAAGCGAGGATTTCGTGTTAGTTGCTGGGCACAGGTTGGTCAATGTCTCCTGATTTAGAAAAGCATGTTTGAAGTCTTGATTAGTCTGCAGATGTTTAGGGTGACTGTTCAGTTAATGAATTAAAAATGTGTTGCATGGCTTTTAGATGTCAATGTTGACTCCGTCTGAGCTGCACGTGTTTAAATCTAAGATCTTTTCACTGATAAACCCGTGATTTATTGCATGGAAGGGTTGAAACCCATAAATAAGATTTGTCGTCTTTACCTTTTATGAACGCGGAGCGCGCTCCCGTCAGATACAACATGGCGGCTGCGGAGCAACATGGAGGACTGACCGGCTGTGCTGCGTGACTGGTGTTGTGTCGAAAAATGTTCACCGGTCAAAGTCCCCCCCCCTCCCCAGACGTCCTTAATCCTGGAAATGTTTTCATAACATTTCAATGATTTAAATGCAATTCTAAACGATATTAAATTCGGTTTGGTTGTCTTTTGATTATTACAAAGTTTATTTGACTATTAAATGGCGTCGGGAACAAGCGCCTTTTTTTAGACGGGGCTGATGGATGATGCTTCACGTGACTTAAATCAGCTCGTCGCTTAGGTCCGCGGAGGCATGGCTTCCGTCGGGCGTTCTTCGGTTTTTAACAGAAAAATTATTTTTAAAGGTTTCCGTGATTCTGTTTCTAGCCGTTGAATCGAAATGGGAAAGGAAAAGATCCACATCAACATCGTGGTCATCGGCCACGTCGACTCCGGCAAGTCCACGACCACCGGCCACCTGATCTACAAGTGCGGAGGGATCGACAAGAGAACCATCGAGAAGTTCGAGAAGGAGGCGGCCGAGGTAGGTCCACGACGCGCGCGGGCTCTGCCGCCCCCCAGCGGCCGCCTGCTGTCACTGCACCGCAACAAAATAACCAGGAAAGTTCTCACATTAAAGCCCCTTTACAGTTTAATACTACTTTTTAATTTCGTTCAAAATGGCTGCCACACCTGAGTGACCCTAAAACACAAAACGTTTATAAATCTGAATTTAAATTTGGTATTTGTAGCTGAGATTTCTCAAGGACACATGACCCAAGCTGTGCTTTTCATTATTAAGGAAATCATCTGCAACAGATGGAGTTTTGGAGCTGAACATAATCAAAATAAGTGATGGTAGAAAGAACAAAGACTATAACTCAATGAGTCACAAACTGAACAAATTAAAGGTTGTTTTTGACGTTTGATAAGATGATTAGGTTTAGACTCCTGTGAAATGCTGGACTTTTGTTTGATCGCATAAATGTTCAGAAATTTGGCACAAACACTAAAATATTTCAACACCTTTAAATTGTAATAATATCTTGATTAGCTGTTTCGTATCAGTTGGTGATTATATTCCTCTTGATTTGGCACATTAATATAATTTAAGTGACATTTAGGTTCAAGTTGGGTTTGTCATATGCAGGTACAATGAAATGCTCAGGATGACAAGAGCAGATCTGACTCACTAAAAACAAAGAACAAACAAACGGTAAAATACTAAATCATGCAATAAGGGTACAAAATAAAATACCAAAAAGTGAAAAAGTAATTATAATATTTACAAGGTCCTAAAGAGAGAGAGTAAACAACAACATAGTAGAATATAACGGTGCAAGTAGGACACGTTTGTATGAATAAGTATTTTGATATAGTAATATAAGCTAAAATGCACATTATATATATTGCTCATAAACTACACAGGTTGTGTGACAGGTTATTGCACAGGTGGTGACACTGAGATTGAATTATGATGGTACATACATAGATACCGTATCATACATGATACAGCCACATGGTGCAGCAGCAATAAATAATAAACATATTAGTCGTCACAGATGTGGCTCGGTGCAAAGTTATTGTCAGTTGTTCAGTGTTTTTATTGAGAGTTCAGTAATCTGACAGCAAGTGGATAATAACTGTCCTTCAGTCTTTTCGTTAAAATAAAATAAAGCATAAATGATCAAACAAATTCCATTCATTTAGAGTTAAAGCATTAATAATTGATAATAAAAGTAAGCATAAGTATAATTTATTTAGTCAAATATATATATATATAAACAGTTATTAGTCTAAATACAGATTTGTAAATCCACGTTAGATAATAAATGGATTAATTTGTGAGGTTTTTATTACAATATGCAGAATAAAGTTAATTAGTGCAGATATAAACATCAAATATTAAAATCAGATTATGATCAGATTACTCAGTGGGGTCATTAAGGAACTTTGCTGTCTTCACAGATGGGCAAAGGCTCCTTCAAGTACGCCTGGGTGTTGGACAAACTGAAGGCCGAGCGTGAGCGTGGTATCACCATCGACATCGCTCTGTGGAAGTTCGAGACCAGCAAGTACTACGTGACCATCATTGATGCTCCTGGACACAGGGACTTCATCAAGAACATGATCACTGGTACCTCCCAGGTAATGGATCTCCACAAACCCAAACTTCTGCAGTGAGTGTTTGGTCTAACTCGGCTCCGTCCCTCAGGCCGACTGCGCTGTGCTGATCGTTGCTGCCGGCGTCGGTGAGTTTGAGGCCGGTATCTCCAAGAACGGTCAGACCCGTGAGCACGCCCTGCTGGCCTTCACCCTGGGCGTCAAGCAGCTCATCGTCGGTGTCAACAAGATGGACTCCACCGAGCCCCCTTACAGCCAGAAACGATTCGAGGAAATCCAAAAGGAAGTGAGCGCCTACATCAAGAAGATCGGCTACAACCCTGCCACCGTGGCCTTCGTCCCCATCTCTGGTTGGCACGGAGACAACATGCTGGAGGCCAGCGACAAGGTGAGCCACAGGAACCTTCATGGGATCTTAGCCCTTTACTTCGATAATCACCTCATTTTATCTCTTTGTTTTCAGATGAACTGGTTCAAGGGATGGAAGATTGAGCGTAAAGAGGGCGGAGCCACAGGCGTGACCCTGCTGGAGGCCCTGGACTCCATCCTGCCCCCGTCCCGTCCCACCGACAAGCCCCTGCGTCTGCCTCTGCAGGACGTCTACAAGATCGGCGGTGAGGCTTCTGTTCATCGTTTGATGGAAAATAACCAAAACGACTGAAATGACACCTCTGATGTGAATGAGATATTTTGCTAACAGAGCCTTTCTCTTCTTGGTGATGATGACCAGCTGGTGCTACCATCCTGCAACGCTGCAGGGTCCGTATTTCTGTAAACTGATCGTCCTCCTGCTCTCTCAGGTATCGGAACCGTTCCCGTCGGCCGTGTTGAGACCGGTGTCCTGAAGCCCGGCATGGTGGTGACCTTTGCCCCCCCCAACCTGACCACTGAGGTGAAGTCTGTGGAGATGCACCACGAGTCTCTGCCCGAGGCTATGCCCGGCGACAATGTTGGCTTCAACATCAAGAACGTGTCTGTGAAGGAGATCCGCCGTGGGAACGTGGCCGGCGACAGCAAGAGCGACCCGCCTCTGGCCGCCGAAAACTTCACCGCTCAGGTGAGACGCAGGAAGTGGCTCGGGCTCGCCTTCGTTGGACCACAGGTAGCTGTTGGCGGTTCATTAGGAGGATATTTGTAACATGGCTGTCTTTTGCAGGTCATCATCCTGAACCACCCCGGTCAGATCTCCCAGGGTTACGCCCCCGTGCTGGACTGCCACACCGCCCACATCGCCTGCAAGTTCAGCGAGCTCAAGGAGAAGATCGACCGTCGCTCCGGCAAGAAGCTGGAGGACAACCCCAAGGCCCTGAAGTCTGGAGACGCCGCCATCATCACCATGGTGCCTGGAAAACCCATGTGTGTGGAGAGCTTCTCTCAGTACCCCCCCCTGGGTGAGTCGACCCCTCTGAGTTGATCAGGCATTAAAAAGTGACCATGGTGAAGCACCTGACTGCTGAACCTGTGATTATTATCCTTTAAATTTGATAAAAAATAAACAATAACTAATAAAGATGGAGGAATAGCATATTTATAATTATTTTAACATTACAAATGACTTTTTTAACTATAAAATTGACAATTTTATTTTAGAATAGATACAGATTGAGTGTAAAACAGATATTGAGTTAATTATTTTAATAGTCAAGGAAACAGTTTACTCTGCTCTGATTGGTCCACTGTCTGTCAGACTCCACCCACCTTTGGTCCACGCCCCCAAACGAGTCTCAAAAGTTTAGAAAACGTATTTTAAGCAGATAAAATTTTTTTAATGTATTTTTAAATCTTTTTTTTTTATCATATTCTGTTGGTATTCAGACGTACTCATAGATTTAAATGTTTTTTCTGCTTTAATGTGAATTTAAAGTGAAAATTATGTCTGAAATTTGTCTGCAGCACTTGTAATTTCCTTTTTGATTTATTTAGTATCTTTGTTAAATTTAGTTGCCATTTTGTGTGCGTTTTCTTAAAGATGACTACTTCTCTATATATTTGTATAATTTGTGTTTGTTCAGTGTGTGCAGAGTCAAAGACGTGTGTTTTTGCTCCTCAGGGCGTTTTGCGGTTCGTGACATGAGGCAGACGGTGGCCGTCGGCGTCATCAAATCCGTGGAGAAGAAGGCCGCCTCCGGTGGAAAGGTCACCAAATCTGCACAGAAGGCAGAGAAGAAGAAATGAATGTTTGTGCAGGACGACCAACGTGAAGTCTTGTCTCAGCGGGCCGGCCCGTCTCCCCGACATCACCCGGCGCCGTCGCCTCTGAGGCTCAGCTCTCTGCTCAAGGACTGGCTAAAGCTCATTAAAGCTCATCGCAAAAGTTTCCGCAGGAAAGGAAGGTCTGCGCCTTCGACAGGAAGCTGCGCTGATCATTAAGCTGAAGCCAAAACAATAAAAATCTCAAACTTTGCCAAACGACGACGTCTTTCTTGGGTTTTATTTAAAGCTTGAGCTCATCAGAGACAGATGGTCAATAAAGGTCAAACACTAATTAGGATCAGTTTCTCTAGAAAAATGGTTTATAGGGCCGATGGGTTCGTTTTCTTTAAGTCTCATCAACTTGGTGACGAAAACTCAACTGGTGGTCCGGGGGCCAAATCAGGTCCACGCATGAGTTGAGTTCGGTCCACCAGTGGGTTCATGTGAAATAAAACTAGATTTTAAACCATTAAACAAAGTGCTGGATGTCCGGCCCCTGTTGGTTTTCAGTAACTGTGGCCCCTGAGTAATTGAACAGCCCTGAAACCGTGTTAGAATTACACAACAGTCACGTTACGACAGAACAAGGAGCAGGTTCATGCAGAGAACTGTTAAAGAGACGAGTTCTCTCAGTCTGACAACATTTAGATCCGTGTGACGAAATGATTTACATGTTGCTGCACGCGAGCGTCCAACCTGAAGCAGCTGCAGCAGTTTGGTCCTGAAGAGGACAAGAAGTCCAGAGACTCGAGGTGCCCAGCTCCTGGACTGGGGGGCCACAAAGTTCAGACTTTTAGGATGAACAGTTGAGCTCGCTCAGCTTCTCTGTTCTTTTATTTGGCTGCATTTCTGAACAAGTTGTGTAAATTTAAAGATCCTACGCCATCAAATGAATTTTATATTCCAGCTTGAACTGCAACGAAAGAAGAGGAACAAAGTGCAGAGATAAATAAAACTGAACGTTGCATCAAACAAACAAACAAACAAACAGAAGGTCTGACTGCAGCGATGATCAGAGACAATCTGCTGAACTCTGGAACCAAAAGCTTAAAAACATGAAACGTTCATATTTTCAGCTGATCTGGTGAATTTTACACAAAATAAACTTCTTGTCGGCCAATCAGAGCGGAGCACCTCCTACCTGTGCAGGTGAGAGCTGCAGCCTGAAGGTTTCTGTGGAGTTCTTGTGGTCTATTGATCAGTTGATCAGTTATTGGAGCAGCTGGTGTTTAAGGTTTTATTTGTTCTTGAACAGATTTGGATGTTTGGAAAAGATTTTTCTGCTTTAGTGACGAATATAATAATGAGACTGAAGTTATTTCCTGTTTGGTCTTTCCCTTAAATGTGTCCTCAGCGTAGAGAACCTTCAGAACCACTCCTGGTTCGTCAACAGATCTGTTAGTAAAATATTTGCCGACATGAAAAACACAGTCGTAAAAAGTTTGGGACCAAATGAAACATCTTCGTGGTTCAGCTGCAGTTTGTTCCTGTGATCTGAGACAAAAGGAGGATGGACAGAGAGGACGGACTGTCTCCATGTCCCCCACCTGTGGGACAGCAGCAGAGACACGCCCTCTGGTGAAACAGCTCATCCCTCTGACACTTGATCTTCATCAGTATGACTCATCGTCGTCTCTTGTCCTGGCTGAGGACTCTGTCCCCGTCCCCTGACCTGGTCCACTGCTCTGTCCCCGTCCCCTGACCTGGTCCACTGCTCTGTCCCCGTCCCCTGACCTGGTCCACTGGATCAAACTCAACAACAAAGACCTGAAGATCCGTCAGACGGACCGGCGCTGGGCTGGTCAACGACCCCAGAGAGAACCTGCTGAGGTTCCTGAGGAGCAGCGGTCAGAACATCTTCCAGGCTGCAGACGTCCTCACCTCCAGCAGCTACTTGGAGAAGGTCGAGGTCAGAGGTCAGAGGTCAGGGACCTGCTCAGGACCTGAGGAGACAAGAGGGGACAGAAACGTCTGTTCAGTGAGACGACTTCTGTAGTGACCTGGCGTTATATAATAAACTGAATTGAACTGAATTAGGAGACGAGCTGGGAAATATTCATTTTATTAATTAATGACATAACTTAACATAATTAATGGGATTTACCTGTCTAAATAAAGGTTGAGTGATAACTGTAAACAATCGGTTTATTGTGTGAAAACTACTGCACGCATTAGTGCAGTCTCAAGCCTCGTTATTTAAAAAAGTTATTTTAGGTAAAAGGTTCAGAAATTTTTATTTATTTTAATGATTTTATGTGAAGAATAGTCCAAATATTTTTCTTTATTTGTCCGTGGAGCCAAAGCAGAGGAGATCCTGGAGAAGGGGCTGAAGGTGAGCGGACGCTTTTCATCCTGAGCAGTTTGTGTGACCCGGAGAAGAGTTGCTGAAGAAAAACGTTGTCGCTGTTGAACCGTCAGTGTTGCAACAAGTGAAATGGATTCAGTTTATTTGATGCTGAAGTACTGATTACATTTATTATGTAGACGTTAGTATCTTACCTGTTGCAGGTTGATCTTTAAACATCAGTCTGTAGAAATGACGGAGTTCTGGCAGGACGGATCATCTGAACATGGACAGGACCAAAGTGGTTCATGTGAAAATCGTCTGTTTGTTGTAATTTCATCTGGTCACAGCCAGAAAATAATCCAGTAGAAATACAAATAGTTTATTTTTTATGTTTCAAAACTTGTCATTTACACTTGAAATAGAAGCTACTGTCAGAAACTGAGTAGTTTAGATTTTAATTTTACATTTTTAACTTTATTTCAAAACTCAACCTGGATACTGTTCATCTGCTGAAGGTTTTACCTCCAACACTTTTTCTTTGACTCTAATAAATTCAATTTAGGGTTGATTACATCTGAGAGAGAAAGTGAAAATGTAAGAATTTTTATTTTATCTTTTTGAACCAAATGTAGTTTCAGATTTTTTTATTAAAATTGTTACCAGGAAATGCATTCAATATATCTTTCGTAGTCATTTTACAAATTTACATACACACTTTTACTAAATGAACTAAATATAAAAACATTTTGGCAAGAGGAACTTTATATTACAGCGTGTTGTTTCCTTCACCTTGATTCCAGACGGACACACATGTATAAAGGCTTCCCGCCGGAAGTGATTAGCCCTTTTCTTAGCGATCCAACATGGCGGTGAGTAGCGGCTCACATCGAGCGTTTTGCATCAGACATAAAGTTACCGTAGAAATCCGTCATCATCGGAGCTGTGGAGTCACTTTGGACGCTGATCGGAGTTCAGACATTCAGACTCCATGATGGAGATTTTATTTAAAGCCGCATTTGTTAAATAAACGTCAGAAAATAATGTTATTACAATAAATACGGGCGATGCTAACAGGCTAGCCGCTGTTAAACTGCCTTTTCTGTGACACTTCCGGTGATAAATAAAACTCTGAAGGAGAGTTAAGACTCCGAAGCTTTAAACTTGTTTACTCTGTGCAGTGTTCAGCAGATAGGAAGTTTTTAATTTAATGTCAAGCACGTAATTTGTGCGACAGCCTCAGCAGCGGAGATGTGTTGGGACATGTCCTCCGGCGGGTTCAGCAGCTGACGGGTGTGAAGGTTGACCTGTCAGCTGCTGTTTGTTCACTAAAAGTCTGTTTTTGCTGCTCAGGACCAGGGTGAGAAGAAGGAGAACCCCATGAGAGAGCTCCGCATCCGCAAGCTGTGCCTGAACATCTGTGTGGGAGAGAGCGGAGACAGACTGACCCGAGCTGCCAAGGTGCTGGAGCAGCTCACAGGACAGACCCCCGTCTTCTCCAAGGGTCCGTCTTCCGCCCAGGGACACGGTTCTGAACGCACAATGTCAGACTTGGGTCGTAACATTTGTGTTTTTCTTGGCTCTGCAGCTCGCTACACCGTGAGGTCCTTCGGTATTCGCAGAAATGAAAAGATTGCCGTTCACTGCACGGTCCGTGGAGCCAAAGCAGAGGAGATCCTGGAGAAGGGGCTGAAGGTGAGCGCACGCTTCTCATCCTGAGCAGTTTGTCAGAGTCAGAGTTTCTTTATTGTCATTCGCACCTCATGTGGTACATGTGGTGGAGCGAAATTATGTACACAGGGTCCCAGTTACATCCAACAATAAAATGTATAAGAAAAACAGTAATAACATCTAAGATATGAACTAAGAAAAACATGAACTAAATATACACTAAGCACTCATAACATAAAACATTGAACATCAGCACAAACATGAACATGAGTCTGTGAGCAGATGTGCACGCATGAACATATCAACATTGAAACAGATCAGCAGCAACATGAAACAGATCAGCAGCAACATGAAACAGATCAGCAGCAACATGAAACAGATCAGCAGCAACATGATATGGTTTTTCACAGTGATTATTCTAGTGTGACCCGGAGAAGAGTTGCTGAAGAAAAACGTTGTCGCTGTTGAACCGTCAGTGTTGCAACAAGTGAAATGGATTCAGTTTATTTGATGCTGAAGTCGTGCAAACGAGCACGAAAGCTGCTGCAAAATGAAGTTTAACACGTTTCTTCCTCTTTGGTTCTGAGGCTGGTTGAGCTCGAAGGAGTTTGGCTGCACTGATTTAATTTATTATGTAGACGTTAGTATCTTACCTGTTGCAGGTTGATCTGTAAACATCAGTCTGTAGAAATAACTGCGTTCTGGCAGGACGGATCATCTGAACATGGACAGGACCAAAGTGGTTCATGTGACGATCGTCTGTTTGTTGTAATTTCATCTGGTCACAGCCAGAAAATAATCCAGTAGAAATACAAATAGTTTATTTTTTATGTTTCAAAACTTGTCATTTACTCTTGAAATAGAAGCTACTGTCAGAAACTGAGTAGTTTAGATTTTAATTTTACATTTTTAACTTTATTTCAAAACTCGACCTGGATACTGTTCATCTGCTGAAGGTTTTTATCTTCGACACTTTTACTCCAGTTCAGTTGATTTATATTTGAGATTAAAGTGAAAATGTAAGAAAACGAAAGTCTTGAGTCTTTGGTCCAGGTAACTAAAGGCGGACGAGTTAAAAGATGTCCGACTCTTTCAGGTGCGCGAGTACGAGTTGAGGAAGAACAACTTCTCCGACACGGGAAACTTTGGCTTCGGCATCCAGGAGCACATCGATCTGGGCATCAAGTACGACCCCAGCATCGGGATCTACGGACTGGACTTCTACGTGGTGAGACTCCAGAACCATCGCAGCTTTTTTAAACACCCTCAAGACCAAAGTGCTGTTCACATAATAAAACAATCAGACAATAAAGAACGATTATAATAATTAAAAGTCAACATCTCTGGTGGGGTCAGAGGTCAGAGATGGTTTTAAGAAGGATTTAAAAACAGACAGAAGAGTGTGATGGTCTCTGAAGGTCGTTCCTCGGTGCAGGAGCTGCAGCAGTAAAAGCTCCGTCTCCTCTGAGCTGCTGCGTCTTCAGCACGTGGAGCAGCTGATCACATGACCTGAGGGATCCAGAGGGTGACGTAGCAGCTCGGACGGATGGGGCGGGGCAAGTCCATCAAGAGCGTTGAAAGCAAAACAATTTAAATGAATCCTGGAATGTACGGGCAGCCGGTGCAGGGAGGATGAGACGGGAGAGGTGCGGTCAAACCGTCGTGCGCCAGTTGAAAGCCGCGCAGCAGCGTCTGGACCTTCTGCAGCCGAGAGACGCACGAGTCGATGATTCCTGTGGAGTTCCAGCCGAGTGCTCACAAAGACCTGAACTAGTGTTTGAAATGCTGCGCAGAAAGAATCAGCTTCACCTTAGCCTGGACTGGTTTTAACAACGGCTCTCGTGTGGTTTTTAATTTTAGTCCAGCATCCTCTTTGACCCCAGGTTTGTAACAGCTGGCCTGATGTGCTGGGCCGAGGAAGCAGCATCTGCACTGGGAGTCTCCAGAGACCTCAGTCCGTCTCTCTGAACTTTAACAAGTTCAACCATCCACACTTTGATGTCCTGCAGACACGAGAACAGAGTTTTAGTGGGACAAACGTCTGTGTCATGCGTGTAATGAAAGGAGAGCCCGTATTTTCAGAACCTCCTGAGTTCTGGCGGCGGCTCGTTGACCCTCGGCATCAAAGTGTTAAATATTTAAATTAGTTTAAATTCTTCAGAGAGTTCATTTAAGTGTTTTCATGAAAACGAGCCGAACGTTTCAGAAACTGACTTCTGGGTCCAAATCGATTCCGTCCTGAGCCCGTTCTCTCTCCCCGTCCAGGTTCTGGGCAGACCCGGTTTCAGCATCGCCGACAAGAAGCGGAAACAAGGCCGCATCGGCTTCAAGCACCGCATCCGCAAAGAGGAGGCCATGCGCTGGTTCCAGCAGAAGGTGAGTCCACACGAGCTGCTTCAGGCTCGACCTCGGGTCAGAACGTCCGGTCGGGTCGCAGCTGTGGATCAAACGTTAAAACGCCGCACCTCAGAACCGACCCGCTTTAACATCTGGGCTTTGTGCACGCTTCTCATTCAGTTCAAGTTCAAACATTTTTCACTGAAAGTGTGAACTTCTCGAAGCTCCAGATCATTTTTAACGTTTCTGTAAAGTTTCAAAGGTTCAGCTCTGAGAGCTTCAGGAGACCTGAATGTTTTTCTCCTCAACTCTTTGTGTTTTTATTTAACTCGGTGAAACGGAGCTCTTTTTATTTTACACCTTGGTTAAGAAATCGTGTTTTGTCTCTTCAGACGGTTTAAATCTCTTAAAGACAAAAGTTTAGCCGCTCAGATTCACCACAAATTAAACCGTTTTAGAAACTTTAAGGTGAAAGTTGTGATTTTCACTCTAGCGTAAATTTATTGTTGAAATATAAATTTAAAAAATCTTGAGGATTTTGACCCAGAATCATTTTTTCACGTGTTCGCTTGAACACGCAGTACAGATGTTTGTAAGTGGATGAACGTTGACGTCGTTATAAACTGTTGAACCGAACTTTTCTCTGTTTTCAGTACGACGGCATCATCCTCCCCGGGAAGTAACGGCGCTCCTGCTCATCTTCGTTCTTGTGACAAACAAATAAACCAGAAAACTCAAAAAGCTCTCGTGGTTTTACTCTGTCCAGAAAACCTTTAGACTCTGAACTGGATCTCGTGACACGTTTCAAGCTTCATGTTCATGTCAAATATTAAAAATCAGGAGTGCGATGGGAGGACGGACGAGTTTACAAGAAAACTGAATAATCTGGATAAAAAGTAAAGTTTGTGAAAACTCTGCCTTGAGGAAAACGTCGGCTGGAATCGGTTCTGAACCGTTTGTTGGTTCCTCGTCAGTTTTTATTCACTTGTGATCGAACCTGCAGCTCGTCTGTTTTTATGTCTTAAATTAAAGACCGTCGTCTATAAAGTGCTTTTTTTAGCTCTTTAAACAATTGTCTTAGAAACAGAATAAAAAAAATATAAAATGTTTTTCAAGGTTCTTTGTTGTCGCATCACGTGGTACACGAGGTGGAACACAATTGTGTACTCAGGGTCCCAGTTACAATCAAAAATATAAAACTAAATAAGGATCTAAGATACGTGTTAAACACTAACAATGTAAAATAACGCAGTATATTAAAGAGCAGCCCGAACTTGAGTAGATGGGTGTGAGCACAGCAGTAAAAAGGAAAGATCAGCAGCAGCATGGATAATCAGCAGCACAGATAAGTGTCATCACAGTGATTATTCTAGTTGGAGATTCATGAGTCTAACAGCCTCAGGGTAGAAGCTGTTCCTCAGTCTAGTGGTTCTACACTTGATGCTCCTCAACCTCCTTCCTGAGGGGAGTGGGGCAAAAAGTATGTGTGCTGGGTGAGTGGGGTCCTTCATGATGCAGGTGGTCCTCTTCCTGCATCTGGAGGTGTAGATGTCTGTGATGGTGGGGAGACTGACTCCAACATCTGTGCAGCCTTCACCACTCTCTGCAGAGGTTTTGTGAGTGAGGAAACCCCGAGCTTTTAAAAAAACTTTTTTTAAGAATCCAAACGGAAAAACAATAGTTTCAATAAAATGTAGAGATGGAGAAAAGGCAGCTTTGAAACTTTTCCAGGAGGCTGCTGTGCAGCTTCTTCACCACAAGAGGGCGGTGGTGGGATTATCTTCTAATCTCAATCTGCAGCTCGTTAAGTTTCAAAAACATCGTTTTCAATGATGTGAGTTTAGTGATTCAAAGAGCTGAGGGTGACGTGTTAAATTAGTTTTTATACTAAATTTAAACAAATTGATTAACGGTACAAACTATAAACTCTCGAGACGTGAATCAAACCTGAAGTTTTAGCTTCATGACTGATTTAATAAATAAAACCAGAATCAATAAGTTCTGATCAAAATGTTTTTATTCAGAGTCCAGAACAGATTTATTCACAGAACGAGCCTCTGAAAATAAATAAATAAATGTTTCCACCTGCCGGAGGCTTCAAGTAACAAACGTTCTTCGTCTCATTTGGTTTAAAGCTGCTCCTGTCGAAGGTTTTTATATTTTATCATTGAACACGTTTCTTCACGTTGGCTCCACAGAACAAATAAAACTAGAAACATTCTTCAAATTTCACCTTCGTCGCTCTTTCTGCTCCGCTCATCTCATAAAATCCATCTTCAGCTCTTTCACATTAAAACCTTCAGACCCTGCAGCTTCTCTTCCTGCAGACCAGGTCCACGACCCGGTTCTGGTTCTGATCGTGTTCAGACTGCTTCTTCGTCATTAAAACAACCACTAGAATAAAAACGTTGATTTATTTTTAAATTTCAGATCAGACCAACTTTTTCTTTTCTGACTCAAGAATTCAGCTTTTATTTTGAAATAATGGTAGAAAGTAACGTTTTGTGCTGAAACGAATAATTTAACGTTCGGTTGAATTGAAATCAGTTTCAACGTTTCACACCGTCCTGGCTCTTTGATCTTTGACTTTTGGATAAAAAGGAAGCGGTCCGCTGTGACCCGGGTCTTCCCGGGTCTTCCTACGCCCTGCTGGTCTGAGCCGGGGTCTCGCTGCTCTCTCGGCTCCGGCTCTTCCCGGCCTGCTCCGGCGTGTTGCGGTGCTGCTGCCGGCGGGGGGCGTGGCGGGGCGGCAGGGTCAGGGCGCAGCAGGAGACCCCCACCGTGGGCTCGGGGAGGTCCTCGGCTCTGGACCAGCTGTCCGTGGCGGGCTCGTAGATCTGCACGGCGGCCTTGTAGCGTTTCTCGGCCTCGTTCCAGCCCCCCAGCAGGTAGAGCCGCTCGGCCAGCGGCGCCAGGCCGGCGGTGCTCACCCCGAGGGGGAGGGGCGCGGCCCGGCTCCACGACCCGCTCTCTGGGGAGAACACCTCCACCGACAGGACGTCCACCCGCTCCGCCCCCGGCCCCAGCTGGCTCCCGCCCACCACGTAGACCCTCCCTCCGAGCGTGGCGGAGCAGTGCCAGCCCCGGGGGGTCTCCATGGGGGCCTGCTCGGTCCAGGTGTCGGCCTCCACGCTGTAGCGGCACACGGAGCGCGAGTAGGCGCAGCTGGTGTAGCCGCCGGTCACCAGGATGTCTCCGGAGGGCAGGGTGGTGCTGGCGTGGCAGCAGCGGGGGGCCTCCATGGGGGCGCGCAGCTGCCAGGTGTTGGAGGAGGGCAGGTAGCTCTCGGCCGTGGCCAGCAGACCCTCCACGTTCCGCCCGCCGATGGCGAACAGGCGGCCGCCGCTGGCCGACAGCGAGAAGTGGGTCCGGCGCTGCCGCATGCTGGCCAGGTGGAGCCAGGTGTTGAAGCGGGGGTCGTACCTGGGGGGCCCCGGAACAACGTTTGAGTTTAACGGTTCTCTCTGGTCTGTCAGGTGTTTGGGGGGGGGGGTTACCTGCTCAGGGTGCTGACGGCGTGCTTGGCCTGGTTCCGGGCGTCGTTCTGGTCCTCCCCTCCCGCCACGTACAGGAAGCCGTCCATCACGGCCACGCACTGGTTGAAGCTCTTCGCCGGCAGCTGGGTGAGGGGGCGCCAGCTGGCCCCTCCCTCTCGAGGGTCCCTCCACAGCACCTGCACAGGGTCAGAGGTCAGCGAGGTGTGCTGAAAGGAAGTCTCGGGTTCTGGTGTCGTTGGTACCGACCTCGCGGCTCAGAGCTCTCTCGGTGAGAGACGGGCGTCCTCCGATGGTGAGCAGGGTCTGCTGGCTGCCTCGGACCTGGGTGCGCCGGGACTGCAGCGTGTTCTGCTGCTGCGGCAGCAGGTGGTAGTTCATGGCGTCCACCAGCAGGCGGTGGCACTGGGGGTCCAGCATCATGCGGGGCACCGGCTGGACCTGGCTCACCAGCTCGCTGGCGGGGATGGTCTCAAAACGGACGTGGAGCAGAAGGTCGGAGGCGTGGACCTGCCGGGAGGCGTCGAAGTCCAACCACTTCATGGCGAGCTGAAGGAGAAACCAGCAGAGTTAAACACAAGATCCAGAAACCATCTACATGTTTCCATCACGTGGCTGAAGCAGCAGAACTGGTTCTGCAGGACTTCATCAGTCTCATGGTTCTGGAGGAGTTCTGACCCACTTCCCTCCATTGTTGCTTCAGTTCTTTGAGGGTCCACCACAGCATCTCAGTCAGGTTCAGGTCCTGGACTCCGACTGGACTAGTGGTTCTACTTTTTCTGACCCGTTCTGTTGTAGATCAGCTGCTGGGTTCTGGATCATGGTCCTGTTGGACCCAGTTTGGTCCAAGCTCCAGCTGTTGGACAGATGGACTCACATTGGACTCCAGAACTCTTTGGTGTACAGAGGAGTTCTGGTCCACTCGGACTGGCCCAGACCATCAGCCTCCACCACCGTGCTGACAGCTGCAGTGCATTCTGGGTAATCATCTGTCCTCTGGTCTGGTTCTGGTCCAGAAGTCTTGTGGTTCAGATAAAACTTTCCAAACTTGTGTCATGGTTTTTGGGGAGAAGAAGCCATGACCTTTGACCTGCTGACTGAGGCCTGTAGAGTCTGAGCACTGTACGGTCTGACCTTCGGGGTGATTTTTGCTGACTCAGCTGTTCTAAAGTTTTCCACTTGTGAATAATTTTTCTCTGTAAAACAACGGTGATGACCTTTGACCCCAGAGTGACAGACAGCTGCTTCTCTGCAGTCATTGCTGATGTCTTTCCACCTTGGTGGTGTGTTAACACGCCTGCATGCTACAGAGCAGCAGAAAGTGCTGCTGCTCCTGGTGGGTCCTGGACTCTGAGATCCTGTAAAACAGACTCTGGACTCTGTTTGGGTTCAGTTTTGTTTGATCCTGTAAAATAGTTTCAATCACTTCCTGGAATTATCTGAAAATAAAAGTCCGAAACGTCTTCTGTGTGTCGGGTTTGTCACAGGAAGTCAAGTGGAAGAGTTCTGATCAGTCCAGTTGGACTCGTCCTCAGCTGCTCGTCTATTTCAGACCCGTGTTTAAAATAAAACGGTGAGGAACAACCGGAGGTTTTGAACCCGAGCCGGCTGGTCTCAGGTCTGGTCTCAGGTCTGGTTGTAAATAGAAGCAGACGCGTCAGCGGTCGTCCTGTCGTTCTGCACAACTTAACATTTTAATTTCAAACTCAAACGTGTTTGACCTCTGACCTGGAAGGCCGTGACCTCCGAGGGCAGCAGCAGGGCGTCGTCCTGCAGGAAGGCGGAGATCTGCTCCAGGGTCAGCTGCGTGAACAGCGGCGTCTCGGCGAACTGCACGAAGTTCTCCAGGACGAAGCGGCGGGCGGCGTCGCACACGGGCCGCAGGCCGTAGGCGGCGGCGATGTTCCAGATGTAGACGCAGGTCTGCACGTTGAGCTCGGCCAGCAGGAAGTCCACGCACATCTTGAGGAGCTGAGGGATCTGCAGGGTGGCGGCCGCGGAGACGGTGCAGCCGATGGTGTAGAGGGACATGTGGACGCGTCCCAGGTAGGCGAAGGTGATCACGTTGGCAAGACCTGCAGAGAAGACGAGACAAAGTCAACGTCGTCGGAGCCTTCAGGTCCGCTCAGGCTGTTGGGAAACGAACGGTTTGGACTCAGAATCAAGTGAAACATTTCAAAGTCACATTTTAGCTCCGGATCTGTGAAGATGTTCATGTCGGCTGTAAATGTGAAGAAGTCCTGAAGGTTCTGTGTAACAAACTGAACGGACCCAGAGGGGACAGGGACGGCAGCTCCAAACGCTTCATTCCAGGATCTTTGGCCAGAATCTCCCTGAAGTACTGGCTGACGGAGGAAATGACCAGTTTGTGAACGTCGAAGGCTTTCGTCTTACAGGCCAACTCCAGGTCCGTGAGAAACCTGCCGGAGGAACCAGAGACACTCATCTGGCAACACGGAGACACAAGGTAACTGTAAATAACACGAGGGGGACGGACTTCTCCTGGCGCATCCGGCTGAGCTCCTCCAGCAGGGCGCTGCCGTGCAGCGGGCGGGTCAGCTCGCTGCCCAGGCCCAGGCCGCGCTCCCCGGGTCTGATGACGGGCGGCGGCAGCGGCAGGTTCAGGCTGTTCAGCTGAGCGATGTCCAGCGCCGCCATCTGCTCGATCTTCTTCACACCGCTCTCCACCACCACCACGCCGTCACCGCGGCGCTCTATCTTCAGTGATGCTGAGGCTGTCTCCATGGCAACCTGAGCCACGGAGTCGATGGCGGCCTTCTTCTGACGAGGGGCCTTCCTTTTGGGTGCCATGTTCTGATTGATGCTGATGATGGTAGTTATGGAGCTGCAGCTGTAGATCAGAGGTTCAGCTGATGGTTCAGCCGATGGTTCAGCCGATGGTTAAGCACACAGCACCTGAAGGAAGAACAAAAAGGTTTAGGTTTAATAAATGTGTGTGTGGGGGTGGGGGGTGTCAGACTCAGGATCAGCTCCATCAGGATTCAGCTGGTCCAGGGCCGGTCCAAGGTTTTCTGGGGCCTTTGGGTAGAACTGGGGGTACACTTTAGTTTCCTGTTTTTGCTGCTAAACAACTTTATTTTATTTTAACCTTTTTATTTAACAAAATGTTCCGTCAGGAATGATCTGCTACAACTTTTAGTATTTGTCTTTTTGAATTATTTAACTTTATTTACTAAATAGTTACACAAACAGAAACTTAGAGAACTTGTCAGCTTCAGTTTTATGTCTGTTACTTTGAGCTTATAGTTATAGTGTAGCTAACTTTAGCTTTTAGCTATAGTGTAGCTAACTTTAGCTTTTAGCTAGTTTTATACATTTATACTTAACGAAGAGTTCTGTTGAGTTTAACTTTAGTTGGATCGTTCTTTAAATCTCTTCAAATTCTCAGCTTCACACTAAAAATACTTTTAGTTTATATCTTCTAATTTTTATTTATTTATATCCAGTTGACATTAGAGAGCGACGATCGTGTAATGGAACGTTTGTTAGCAAAATATCTCATGAACCACTGGACGGATCTTGATGAAACCTTCAGAAAGTCAAGTGGGAGTTCATGATTCAAGATGGCCGCCACAGCTAATTGATCGCAGTCGTCTAAAAGTCGGTCACTGTTACCGACGATGAGCTGAAGCTGGTGTGGTGGTAGCTGAGAGTGATTCACCACTCGGACCTGAGGGCTAACAGACGTTTGAGGCGGCGGGCGGTTTATGGTTTTATTTTGTCTCTTTTCAGGTTTTTATTATTTTTATTGAAAAATATTTTATTGTTTTCAGTTTTTTTGCTTCGTAAAAAGTTTTTATTAAAATGATCTGATTCATTTGACGAACGCTGACCAGTTAATAAGTTCTGAACCCTCCAGGGGAGGCGTGCACACGGTCCCCCTCGGTCCAGTCCTCCTTAAATAGCTCGTATCGGTTGACTGGTTCCCCAGAAATAAACGGACCTGGGGGGTTGGCAGCTGTTGGTGGTGTCACATGGAGGGTGGGGTGGGGGGGTCAGAGTTACAGGCGCTGCTTTTCTAATCCTCCCTGAGAACAGGTGGACCCATCAGAACCTCCACATGGAGGGGTCTGGTTCTGA